AGAAAAGCAGAAATATTAAGTACACCCTTTTTAGACTATAATGCAATAAAAATTATATTCAATAAGGTGCTGTGGAAGCATAGATTAAAAATGAATTGAGAACTAAATAATATAATTCTAAAGAATGAGTGAGTCAAAGAATAAATCATAGAAACAACCAATAATTTCATTAAATAAAATGACATATTCCATCTTGGGGAGGGGGTAGGAGAAAGTAGGGGGGAAAATTCAAAACTTAAAACCTTATGGAAGTGAATGTTGAAAACTAAAAATAAATTAATTAATTATATTTTTTTAAAAGCATAAAAAATAAAGAGAATGACAATAATGAGACAACATACCAAAATTTCTGGGATGCAGCCAAAGCAGTATTTAGGAGAAATTTTATATTTCTAAACGTGAATATGAATAAAAGAGAGGAAAAGAAGATCAGCAGACTGGGCATGCAACTAAAAAAACTAGAAAAAGAACAAATCAAAACCCTCCAATTAAAAACCAAAAAGGAAATCTTGAAAATCAAAGAGATTAATAAAAATGAAACTAAGAAACCATTGAATTAATAAAACTAGAAGCCAGTTTTATGAAAAAAATAGATAAAAGGTTGGTTAATTTTATTTTAAAAAAGAAGAAAACCAAATTATCAGTATCAAAATAAAAAAGATAAATGCACCACCAATTAAGATGAAATTAAAGCAATTATTGGGAATTATTTTGCCCAATTATATGCAAGTAAAATTAATCATCTAAGTGAAATGGATGACTATTTACAAAAAATATAAAGTGCCCAGGTTAATAGAAGAGGAAATAGAATACTTAAATAACCTTCTTAGAAAAAGAAATTGAATAAGCCATAAACGAGCCCCCTAAGAAAAAAGTCCCCCACAGCAGATGAATTTGTCAGTAAATTCTACCAAACATTTAAGAACAATTAATCCCAATACTATATAAACTACTTGAAAAAATGGGGAAGGAAGGAGTTCTACCAAATTCCTTTTATGACATTAACATGATTTTGATACCTAAACCAAGTGAGAACAAAAACAGAGAAAGAAAAGTATAGGGCATTTTCCTTAAAAAGCCATTTTCCAATTGGTAAATGGTCAAAGGATATGAATAGGCAGTTTTCTAGAGAAGAAATCAAAGCTATCCATAGTTACATGAAAAAATGCTCTAAATCACTATTGATTAGGGAAATGCACATTTTAAAAACTCTGAGGTACCACCTCACATCCATTAGATTGGTTAAGATGACAGAAAAGGAAAAGGGCAAATGGTGGAGGAAATGTAGAAAACCTGACACACTAATGCGCTATTGTTGCCACTCAGGAGAACAATTTGGAACTATACCCAAAGGGTTATAACACTGCAATACCACTACTGAGTCTGTATCCCAGAAAGGTCAAAGCAAAGGGAAAAGGACTTATTTGTACAAAACTATTTATAATAGCCCTTTTTGTGGTGACAAAGAATTGGTAGTTGAGGGGATACCCATCAATTGGGGAATTGCTGAACAAGTTATGGTATATGAATGTAATGCAATACTATTGTGCCATAATAAATGACCAACAGGACAATTTCAAGAAAACTTGGGAAGATATAGGAACTGATGAAAAGTGAACTGAGCAGAACCAGAAAAACATTGTACACAGTAATAGCAATATTGTCAGGATGGTCAATCATGAAAGACTTAGCCAGTCTGATCAAGACAATAATCCAAGACAACTCCAAAGGACTCATGATGCTTTCCACCTCCAGAGAGAGAACTGATGAACTCTGAGTGCAGGTTGAAGGACACTTTTCTTAAACTTTATTTTTCTTGGGTTTGTGTGTGTTTTCTTTTGCATCGTGGCTAATACAGAAACATGCTTTGAATGACTTTACATGTATAATCGATATCATATTGTTTGTTTTCTCAAGGGTTAGGGGAGGGACAAGAGGGAGGGAGAGAATGTGGAACATGAAATTTTTAAAAAATGAATGTTCAAAACACTTTCATATGTAATTGTGAAATATTTAATGAAATAAGTAAAAATAGATTTTAAAAAGAAATTTTAAAAATAGTTACTTGGGCACTAGTCACTGGTGGTTAACAGTAGGGAAAACCTACATAGAATGGGGGCTAGGGACAATGGTATTAGAAAAAAAAGATACCTCAACCCCTCTAGGGGTACCTAGAACCCTAAGGGGAAGATGTAGCAGCCTGATTCTAGGAGAGTGAGCCTATCTACATAAGGATACTGTCTCCAAGATTTGATTGGCTCAGGGTATGAAGGCTCAAACTGAGGACCCATCTTCCCTGTGCTTGGGTTGCTTTCATGTAGCTTCCTGATCACCCAAGAGAATTAAAAAACTCATTCACAATGAGAAACCCTTCCTCCTTGACGTATTTCTCCAGCTAGTTTGCCAGCCCTCCCTACTGAGTAGACAGGTTTCAGTATGGTTATGTGGAGGGAGGAGGAAAGGGAGGATCCCCCTTGGCTAAATGCTTGTCCTTCTGATGTTATCACTAAGAATGACTTTTGAATGACCTAAGAGGGTCTCTGTTTAGTTTGAATAACAGCATTAATTTACCAAGAGACAGATCTGAATCAGTCTTATATTACATACACCAAAGTGTATGTAATATAACCATTATATAGTGTAGACTTGATCTTGAAGAGGACCAGTGACATCAGCAGGGTGATGCCTCAACTTGCAAATGAATTGGATTTAAGCTTCAGAGACAAGAAAGCATGTGCTTAAAAAAACCACTAAACTGTGTATTACCATTTGACCTAGTAAAAATTCCACTAGACCTATACCCAAATAAATCAAAGAAAGAAAAAAAAAGACACAAGTAGACAAAAATATTTATAAAGGTTCTTTTTGTGGTGGCAAGGAATTAGAAAATAGCTTCTTCTTCAGTAATTCAGTCATGTCTGACTCTGTGAATCCATGGACCACACAGTCTGTGGGTTTTCTTGGCAAACAAACTTGAGTTGTTTACCATTTCCTTCTCCAATGGATTAAGACAAAGGTTAAGTGACTTGCCTAAGGTCACACAGCTAGTAAATGTCTGAGTCTGGATTTGAACTCAGGTGTTCCTGACTCCAGGCCCAGAGCTCTCTTTATCCACTATAGTGCCACCTAGCCGCCTCCTACACAATAATTTCAGCTGTATGAACTAATGAACATTCTCAACTCTCTCTGAAATTGTAATCACATAATTATTCACAAGCTGAATGTTAGGGAATACAGAAGATGACTTTAATATGTTTTGTATATACCATATGTACATGAAGGAATGAATGAATAAAAGCAATTATTAAGGATATGCCAGGTATGTGCTAATTAATTTTTTAAAATATAGGCAATCAATACAGCTTCTGCCCTGAAGGAGCTCATACACGGTAGGAGAAAGACAAAGCATTAAAGGGAGCTAGAAGAGGGAAGTGGAGTCTGCACAGTGTGGCACGGCTCAGAAATGGTGTGGTGGCCTGGTTCTGGGAAAGATAAGGTAAAAACTCATCTGTCAGAATCCAGGGTCCCTAGAGCAGAGAAACTCTGGGAGTTTCTTGAGAGCAGAGATGGTTTCATTCATTGTATTTGCATGTGCATACCCAGTGCTGAGCACCGCACCAGGCACAATGCTCATTGTTTGCTGATTGGTGTATTGTCTCCTCTGAAAAGGAAGAAAGGGAGGGAGGGAAGGAGGTAGAGAGGAAGGAAAAGAACATTTATTAAGTACCTGTTATGTGTCAGACACTGTGCTCAGCATTTTTACAATTATCTCATTTGATACAATAAACCTGGGAGGTAAGTGCTATTATTATCCTTTTTTTTTCACAGGTGAGGAAACTGAGGTAGACAGAGATTACATGATTTGCCCTGTGTCGCACAGCTTGAGTCTGCGGCTGGATTTGAACTCAGGTCATCCTGACTCCAGACTCAGTACTTTATCCTCTGTGCCATCTAGCTGCCTCTCAGAGAATGCAATTTCTTGAGAATGGGGAATTATATGCATACATACATATACATAATAGATACATATACACACAGATAACAACATACAGATATACACAACATATACATATACGTGTCTTAATGTACATGGGTGTATAAGCATAAATATAATTTTGCCCAGATTATCTCTCTTTTGCTCAATCTTGTGAACCAGGTAATCCAGGTATTATCCCATTTTACAGATGAGAAAGCTGAAGCTCGAAAAATTGAAAGGACTGGTCCCAGGTTCCACAGCCAGCGAGTGATTCAAATCCAGGTCTTCTCATTCTAAGCCTAGGCTTTTTTCCAGTTCTCTCTCGAAGTAAGCCAAGGGCTGGGAATCTACAAATATTCAGGCTGGTATCAAATCTGCATGTTCCAGGCTCTAATAACCGTCCTTTGCTTAACTCTCTTTCCTCACACAGAATTCACTGATGCCATTAATGTCAGGGAGTGAAGTGCAGTGGGAAGAGCGATAGCCTTGGAATGAGAGGACCTACCCAGGTCGCCTTTGACATTAGTGATCTGTGTGAGCTCGGGCAAGGCACGTGACATCCTTGGGCCTCAGTTTCTCCATCTGTAAAATGAACGGGTTTTGGCTAAATGGCCTCTGAGGTCCCTTTTTGGGGGGAATTCCAAAATTTAAACTAGTGAGGACAGGAGAATCACAGACTAGTCTTTACCACTTTCCCAACTCTCCCTAAAATTATAATTATCGCATAATCATTCATAAATAGAATAGAAATAGTTGTATGTGAGTCATGGGGGAGGAGGGGTCCTCTCCCCACTGCCTGTGAATTACATACTCTGCAGGTGGGGTTGCAGCTTGTTCCTATCGGAAGTCTCGCTATATATGAAGCCCGCAGGCTCGTCTGGGTGCGCGCTACCCTTATCGAGTCCCTTGGGCAAAAAGGTCCTAGGTGTGCTTGGAGCAGTGCCTAGCTGCCTTTGCATACTTCTTCCCTGAGTCTCCCTCGCCTCCCTCTTGCCTCAGGGTCTGGCTGGGCTGGGTGGATGGCTGCTCAGCGCTGCTGGGAGTTTCACTTCCTCCCTAGTTGGGGCTCACACCCACAGCAGCAGCGCGCACTGTCAGCCGGGCGGCTTTTCTCCTGGTGTCAAATGACCAAGTGATCAGTAGGGGAGATCTTGACTTGCTCGCTCCCTTCATCTCCGTGCCACCCACCTGGTAGTGGAGAGGCAGCCGAATGGGCAGAGTCGAAGCTAGGGAAAGAAATATGAGCCACCTGGACTCCTCCGAGGGAGAAGCTGAGCACCTCCAGCACTTGGGGTAAGGCGCTGCGCCGCGTCCCGGAGGGCTTTCAGCGGCAATGTCAGACTTGATTCAAACCTCCCTGCTTGCTTTAATCAGTGATCTTGTTCCCCATTCTTTTCCTGTCTGCCCTTTTCTTTCCACATTGGAAGAGGCCAGGCATCTTCCAGTTGGTGGGCAATTTCATTTGTTCTAGCTTTTGAAACAAAACATATAACAAACTTTTTTTTTCCTGTTGTAAAACCCGAGAGGAAGGCATGATACTATAAAATGCAATCTCAGGGGAACAGGGGTCCAGTAATACAGACTAGACTTTGTACTTGTAAAACTTAAAGGGGATTCCTAAACTCCTGGCAGTAAGAGGGATGTATTGGTAATATGGTGAGCGACAAAGTTTATCCTATAATAAATAAGTGGACTGGGGTTTGAGTATATTTGTTGTTGGGTTTTGTTTTTTGTTGGGTTTTTTTTTTTTAATTTTAAGGGCAAGAATGAGGAAGTATATGCAATAATCTTGTATGTGTTTAGTTTTTGTTTTGTTTTTCATTCTCCTTGTCTTCATTTGTTGAATGCTGTTAATGTGCAGAAGTCTTTTATTCCTACAAATGCTGATATGGAAGCAAACTAGTAAATTCCTCTGAAATTAAGTAAATTATGATTCTGACAGGCTAGAGGAGTCAGCTGCTTCTTGCTCTAAAAAAAAAAAGGTTTTAAAATGTGACCCCTTGTTTAGCTCAATGAATGGCACCTTCAAAAGGCTGATTTCCCAGAGTGACTTGAGGGTTTGACTCAGAGCTCCCGGATTGTCCTTGTTAATCTAGACTGGGCACTTTATTAATCAGGAGATGTCTCCACTTAGTAGCACCATGGATTATGAGATGAGGAGAGGAGCTGAAGTCAGGTCAAATACAGCTGTCTGAAAATACATATTACGATATTTTCATGGGCTTTACCGTAACAGACCTTAAGCCTTCCTCTCTCTCTAGAGGTGAGGTTTTAGAGCAGAGAATTCTATTTCTGGGGCACTTGTGTTTTACAACTGCAAGTTTAAGGACACACTTCCAGGAACCTCAGCCCTTTTGGAACACAGCCCCAGACCAGAAATGGGTGAAAAAAGATCTCCTGGTCCCCAAAATAACTGTCACAAAGTCTCTACACTAAAGCCAGACCTTTAGGCCAGTTCTCGAACTCTCAAAACTTTATGGCTTTGATTCTATACTTTTCCCGCCTAAGCAAGCCTAGTTATCTAATTTCCAAACCCATAGTAAATGAAATACAACAAAATGGAAAGAAAGCTGATAGAGATAGGTGCCATGCCACTAGTAAGACATGATAGTTGACAGCTTGACAGAAGGGTGAGAGACAATTCAAAAGCAGATGTCAAACTGCTCTGTAATGGACAGCACAGAGTAAGAAGTGGATTTCCCCATGATGACCCTGAGCCCTATAGGATGTGCTTAGCATTCTCTATTTTAAGAAACCACATTGAATACATTTCAGAAAGCTTTCATACCAAAATATCTAAAGCAACAAAATTTTGAACTTCAATGGGTTATCTGAAAAATTCACTAATTTACAACACCTCATTCTGGGTTTGGGACACCTTTTGGGTAAATGATTGTGTGTGGGATATTATTCTAATCCCAAAATGACACATTGTAGTATTTTGAGAAGAAATGTGAGATTTGTATAAAGCCTATTCCAGGCAAAAGAAACTTTAAAAAAAAACCTGAAATATTGTCTTGGTATTTTGGCATACACTTCTGAAAGACATGGCAACTTCTTTGAAGACCAATGGTGATACACACAAGGTCTTGGGATTCTATGCCTTTTGATAATTCTGTTTTCCAGAATTGAATTGGAACAATGAAATATAATTTGCTTGGTAGAGTCATAGAAGGGATCGAGAGAACAATTTTTTAAAAACCCATTAAATGAACAAGCATTTATTAAGCCACTTACTGTGTACCAGACTTCACTAAGTGCTCTGTGAATCTCTTTTGATCTTCACACCAACCCAGGGAAGATCAAAAGAGGTATGTTAAATAACTCGGATGTGTCCCCATTCTCTCTATGTGTGGCTGTCTCTCTCTGTCTGTCTCTGTCTTCTCTGTCTCTGTCTCTCTGTCTGTCTCTCTCTGTTTCTCTCTCTGTCTCTGTTTCTCTGTGTGTGTCTCCCTGTCTGTCTCTGTCTGTCTCTGTATCTCTTCTGTCTTTGTTTCTCTCTTTCTCTGTCTCACTCTGTTTGTCTGTATCTGTCTCTCCCTGCATCTATCTCTCTCTCTGTGTCTCTCTCTTTCTCTCTTTGTCTCTGTCTCTCTCTTCTCTGTCTGTCTCTCTGCCTTGCTCTCTCTGTCTCTGTCTCTGTTTCTCTGTCTCTGTGTCTGTTTCTGTGTGTCTGTCTCTGTCTCTCTGTCTCGCTATCTTTTTCTCCCTCTATCTGTCTCACTCTCTCTATCTGTCTCACTGTCTCTTTATCTCTATCTCTGTTTCTCTGTGTGTGTCTCTGTCTGTCTGTCTGTCTGTCTGTCTGTCTGTCTGTCTCTCTCTCTCTCTCTCTCTCTTATCTTTCTAATTATCTGTCTATATATCCATACATATACGGTGAGCTCTAATGACACATATCCCCCCCAAAGTTTCAATGGATTTATCAGGTATCTTAAAATCTAAGTGGCTAAAAGCAGCATTCACCTAAAACTGCTTTTATTTGCCTCACAACTTCAGAGGGTATATTAAAGATTAGGGATTTTTTGGTTGGAACATGCTGGTGGTAAAGTGGTGGAAAGGGTATTTTTCTGGTTTAATTGTTAGAGGAGATGTGGGAAACAAAACAAGGAAGAAAAACTACAAGCATCACCTTGGTAATTCAGCAGCGGGGAACTGGTGAGTTGATGGAAAATAAAACTGATTTTGTGGAGCTTGCAAAAGTCCCGAGAATCCCTACAAACACACTTAAAAACTGTAACTGTGGAGGTGCCCGATGGTTACTTCCAATCAGGGGCAAAAGGATATTCTGGCTAAAATGGCCTAGACTAGAGGAATTGTGTTCATTCTATGTTGGATGATTTGACTTATTAGAGGTGAAACTGGAGGAGGCTGGGCCCTGGAAGGGAAAAGGCAGGCGTTTCAGAGCTAAAAGGGTTAAGTCTTTAAGGGATGGTCTCTAGGATTCTTCATCTTTCTTGTGTCATGGTACCTTTTAGCACAGTCTGGGGAAGCCTACGGACCCCTTGCATAAACTAAAATTCACAGGACTACCCCTTGGTAGTCCTTAAAGAAATTATATTGAGATAAAGATGCATTTTTTTTTCTAATCCAACTTCACGGATCCTCTTAAAATCTAGCACTTCCCCGACCCAGATTAAAAATGAAATTATTAGAAGAGAACTATAACCATTAGGGAAAGCCTGTTTTCCCTGTGTTCTGTATGCTTAAACATGAAAAGGGAAGTTGAGTTTACTATGGCATTATAGCATTCTGAAACAGTACATTATTAGGACATAAATTCACTTTTTATTCATTAACTCATTGATTCAACAAACATGTATTCTTATTATTTTTGTATTTTATCTCCTTAGTACCTATGTGACTTTGAATAACTCATTTAACCTCTCTGACACTCCTAATCTATAAAATAAAGGCTCTTAAAAGGAGTTGACATTTATTGCCTTAAGGCTTAAAAAATGCACTGTGAGGTGTGTAATAAGTGTTTTATTATCCCATTATACATCCAAGGAAACTGGGACTTAAAGAGATGAATTGGCCAGGCATGGTGGTTCATACCTACAGTCCCTGTTATTGAGGAAGCTGAGATTGGTGGATCTCTTGAACTCAGGAGTTCTGAACTTCAGTGGCCTAAACCTACTGGGTGTTCATACTAAGTTCAACACTGTACTGGAGCGGGTCAAAGGAATTCTTGGCAAAGCCCATTGTTAATTCTCAGCTTGGGTGTTCACACCTCAGAAACCAGCAGCTGTTACAAATCAGGACTTGATTTATTGTTTTGTGATTGTCTAGACCTAAGAAAGTGATAAAGAAAATGTTAACAATGCATATTAAGTTTAAAAGTGTGGCGTGTACATTTTGTTTTGGAGAGCTTATTGTTAAACATTTATGAGCACAGCACTGTGTGAGTTGCTGCTGTACTTCTAGCCTGGGTGACATAAGAAGACCCAATGGTTAGAGAGATAGATAGATACATAGATAGTTACATGGATGGATGGATAGATAGATGATAGATAGATAGATAGATAGATGATAGATAGATAGATACATAGATACATAGATACATAGATAGATACATAGATACATAGTTACATGGATGGATGGATAGATAGATGATAGATGATAGATAGATAGATGGATAGATAGATACATAGATACATAGATAGATACATGGATGGATGGATAGATAGATAGATAGATAGATAGATAGATAGATAGATAGATAGATAGATGGATGGATGGATGGATAGATACATAGATAGTTACATGGATGGATAGATAGATGATAGGTAGATAGATGATAGATAGATAGATAGATAGATACATAGATACATAGATACATAGATACATAGATACATAGATACATAGATACATAGATAGTTACATGGATGGATGGATAGATAGATAGATAGATAGATAGATAGATAGATAGATAGATAGATAGTTACATGGATGGATGGATAGATAAAAAGGAGGAAGAGGAAGACAAGGAAGAGAGGGAGAAGGAATGTCCATGAGTCACAAACTAATAAGTATCAGAAGTAAGATGTAAACCCAGGTCTTCCCAGGTTTGGCATTCATTCCACTATATCATCATCGAACCACCGACTCAGAGTGGGAATATTTTTAGAATACCCTCCAGCTCTTTTCATTCCGTATCTCCTGTGAGTTTTCTCCTCAACCGCATAACTCATTTTTCCTGCAGACAGGTAGCCTGATGGGGAAATCTGCCCTATCTAGTGCTATGCAAATGTGGGAAAATATTTCTGATCAGTCAATATTATTGTTAGCAC